ACTTGTGTCTACTTTTACTTCTCCAAATTTCAGGAGAAACATCCGAAACAAAGTTGATACATAAATAAAACACTTTGAGATCTCCATTAAGTCTCAAGCTATGAAAGAGCATCCACTGAGGGTTGTTTTCCTCTGGGCTAAAAGCAAAGCCCTTGGGACACTTGATTGTATTAATCTGTGCTCTACAGATGAGTGTGCATTTCGTGCAGACAAATATGGCCTCTAACGGATATGATAATAAGAAGCATCTCCTTTGGGATGGGTGCTTCATTAAAATGGCAGCGTAAATACAGACGCTCCATGTTAAATATGTGAGCACAGTAAATCAGAATTCTTGCCCACCTGAGACGTTTAAAACTACCCATAATCCCCCCCCTCCAGCAGGCATTAGGCCGATTAATCTGTGCCTAGAGACAGGAAAAAGACTCTCGAACCATATCCCAGCTCTAATTGTGAAATATGTGACCTCATTAATTACCACTATTCCTGCCAAAGGAAATGAGAGAGAATCTATGTTGGGAATGGAACACTAGCATAATGCTTACTGCATACTGTGCAGTACACACTGACTACTGGCCAGTATTGTTTTAAAAATAGTATCTGAAACAGAACACATTATGCATTTATACAGGATGTGTTTACAATAACTTATTAAAATACTACTCTTAAAATCCCTGCAGTACCATGTGTAGCATGTGAATTTTCGGTACTGTATAAGAAGATAGCTGAATGCCACAATTCAATTTAACATGAGAGGTAATGTGACTACAATGTAGCATAACACTTTTAAAATAGTTTCATAGTGCACCCAGCCTGAACTTAGTCAGCTATTTCAAATAGTAGCATGCTATATTGCTGTCACATGACCCCGTTATCATTATGTTAACTTTAGTTAATGATATGAGTTATCATCTCAAAGAAACAAACAAATAAAGATACACCACAGTTCAAATTTGTGGTCAGTACGATTATTATTAATAATAATAATAATAATAGCAGTTAATACTTTTATTCAGTAAGGACACACTAAATTGGTCAGAAGTGACAGTAATTTTAGTAACATTTATAATGTTGCAAAATATTTCTATTTCAAATAAATGCTGTTATTTAGAACTTTCCATTCATCAAAGTTCGTCTTAGGTTTCCACATAAACATTAAGCAGCACAACTGTTTTCAACATTGATAATAATACAAATGTTTCTTGAGCAGCAAATCAGTATATTAAAATAATTTCTGAAGGATCATGAAGACTGGAGTAATGATGCTGAAAATCCAGCTTTGCATCACAGGAATAAATTATATTTTAATATATATATATTAAAATGCAAAACAGTTATTTTAAATTGTAATAATATTTCACAATATTTTTGTTTTTACTGTTATTTTTTGATCAAATAAACGCAGCCTTGATGATAATTTGAAGATATTTGCTTCTTAAAAATCCAATTGAACTTAACTTAGAATCCAATTGAATATATATTTTTTCCCAGTATTTTATGTTTGCACAGAAAATGTGCATATAGATTAGTCATACTATAGTATAGGCCTACACTGTAAAAAAAATTCTGTAATTTTTACAAAATAATTTCGGCAGCTGTGGTTGCCAGAATAATTTTGTAAAAAATACAGAAAACTGTAAACACATTTACGGCCAAAAACTATAATTTACAAACAAGAAAATTTGAATGTAAACCAGAAATATCAACAATGCACACTGCTATTAAAATCTGTTTTGTACCTTTAACATACTGACAACCACCATAATAATGCAGGTGGTAAAAGAGTAAGCCACATGAAGAATCAAAGCTCATCACAAGTAGCTTCGCCACAAGCAGAAGCATATACTAATATATAGAAGGTGCACAGAGTCATTCATGCAAACACAAAACACCATCATGGTAACACACATGATACTTAAATAATGCATTAAACTTTCATTAAACAACAGAAGATGTAACATAATATACATAAATATATACATAACTAATAACAAAAACTATTAAAAAACATGATTATTTAAACAAAATACTTTCAAATGTGGAGTGTCATGCAGGGAATTCTGGGAATATCAGTTTACAGTTTTTGACTGTAAATTATACATTTATTTGTTATTTTTACTTCTAAAAACTGTAAAATGAACAGCATTTTACTGTACAATTACATGAAATGTCTGGTTAGATATTTTACAGTTTTTCCCTGTATATAATACGGGAACTTACTGTTAACCTATTAACAGTTTTTTTCCGTAGTGTTTTTACAACATTTTACAGTTAAAATTACACTTATTTTTTACAGTTACTGCAGAAAGTATGCTACTCCAAACACAGCCACTGTCAGAGCAGATCAACAGAATGAATGTAAAATGTGTTTGTGAGGGGGTCACCCAATCTAAATCAAATTTCTGAAATGGATTTCCTCACACACTAATCCTTTATAATTTGTGAGATAATCAGAGAACAGAAAGAAAAGCGAAAGGAGATTGTCTCTGTGAAAACGCATGAATTGCAGCAAGCAGAATGCAAAAAAGAGAGTAAAACAGCTCGAAATGAAGCAAATCTGCAGCACTTTTATTCAGTGCAGAAACTGGCAGCCGTTGGGAGTGCAGCGTCTGCAGTGGAAAATATTTTTAGCATAAATTGCGGCAGTCCCCCCTGAGCAAAGATCAGCCGTGGCTGTATGTGCTGGACTCTCTCCTTTTATCTCCATGTGGTTTGGTTCCATAAAGATCCATCTCCTCAGAGGTCTGCCCACCGCAGCTCACTTCAACTGGGGTCTGATTTCATCAAAGCTTCACATCTTGGCTTTGATGGGTGGTGAACCCTGTGGTTTTATTGAGGGTCTCATCCCACTTTGTCTCTACTCCCTGTCCCTGATCTCATTCAATCTGTACCAGCTAACTTTCATCAGCCACCTATTTTTCTCATCTAAATCCCTCGTTTCTCACCCTTCCTGCCCCTGCTGTATGAGTCTCATCTTTAGCCAAGCACAGGTCAGTAGAGCAACGTATGTGATGGGGAAATATGAAAGGACTGACATTTAACCGGTGAAGGGTCAACAAAACACCAACAACACAATGACACAAATACTGAGCTTTACACTTTTCTTGAGCTTGTCCATACAATGCCCACTGAAAACATCAAAATGTCCTTCAAGTCTCCATGAACAAGACATGATTATTACAAAGATAACCAAAAGTTCACTATTGGATTCTCTTAAAAAAAAAAAAAAAAAAAGTCAATTGTGCCATTCGTCAGTTGTCACGTCACGCTGTTGAGGGAGCACGCTGGAGTCACGAGGAAACGTTTAACAGTCTTTAATCATGAAACGCAGGAGATAAGCCACAATAGAAGCTTGAGCCAACACACGTAGAGAACGAGTAGACCTGACAAACACAAACTGAACAGACTAGGACTTAAGTACACAGGGAAATTAGGATAATGAACTAAACACAGCTGGAAACAAATGAGGAACTAAGCAGGGAACCTAATGGAAACAGGAAGGACCAAATAAGGATACCATTTTATACCATTCACAGGTTTGAGGTTAGCAGGCATAATTTTATCCATCAAGGATGCATTAAATGGATCAAAGGTGACAGTAAAGTTGAAAATATTAAAATAAATGTAGTCCTTATAAACTTGCTATTCCTTAAAGTAAAAAATGTATCACAGTTTCCACAAAAATATTAAGCAACAACAACCCAGAAGAGTACAAGGCTGGCTGTGCACAAAGGCTATTTCTAAAAAAAAAAAAAAAAAAAAAAAAAAAGTCAATTGTGCCATTCGTCAGTTGTCACGTCACGCTGTTGAGGGAGCACGCTGGAGTCACGAGGAAACGTTTAACAGTCTTTAATCATGAAACGCAGGAGATAAGCCACAATAGAAGCTTGAGCCAACACACGTAGAGAACGAGTAGACCTGACAAACACAAACTGAACAGACTAGGACTTAAGTACACAGGGAAATTAGGATAATGAACTAAACACAGCTGGAAACAAATGAGGAACTAAGCAGGGAACCTAATGGAAACAGGAAGGACCAAATAAGGATACCATTTTATACCATTCACAGGTTTGAGGTTAGCAGGCATAATTTTATCCATCAAGGATGCATTAAATGGATCAAAGGTGACAGTAAAGTTGAAAATATTAAAATAAATGTAGTCCTTATAAACTTGCTATTCCTTAAAGTAAAAAATGTATCACAGTTTCCACAAAAATATTAAGCAACATAACTGTTTTTAACACTGATAATATTAAGAAACAAATGAGCACCAAATCAGCATATTAAAATTATTTCTATAAAATATATTTTAAAAAATTATTTTGCAATACTATTTCACAATATAACTGTTTTTACTTTTTTTATCAAACAAATACAGCCTTGATGGGCATAAGATACTTTTTTCAAAAACATTTTAAAAAATCTTACCGACCCCAAACTTTTGAATGATAGCAAACCGTCAGTGAGTGGGTCCTTGCTGTGTGAGGCTGAATTATTAATGCACATACAGTGCATCGTTTCTTTCTTTCTTTATAGTTCAAGGCACAATCTCATGCACAAACCTTGTTCTCAAGCACTCAAGTCTTTCTCTAAGAAAGCATCTATCCAGGGCTGCCCACTGCATAACCTCAGATCACCCTGTCTTGCTCATTGGGTCACAGGTGAAGTGTTTCGGTCAAGTTAAGACATCTTCCTGCCTTTGTACCTAGCTATACCAGATGCTGCATACAGCATCATGACTGTAGCTTGTGGCAAGTAACAGGCTCTGACAACATCCTTACTTGAAAATCCAGGTAAAATCTTAAGATGGCAGCTGGTTTTATATGGTTTATAGTTTCTAAATATCCAACTGGGACCAGCTAGAAACCATGATCTTTAGATGGTCCTAGATCCACTTACAGCTACCTGGTTTGGACCTGTTTTTTCAGTTGGAAAATACATGTATGAAGGGAATATTCAAAATTTAAAGACCTCTGATGTTCTCTGCAAGTTCTTACCGGGTCAGTGAGCTCAGGAATAGCCACACGGTATGTGATGGGGTTACAGTCCTGTGTGTTGTTGACCAGAACACACGGGAGGAACATAGGACCCAGATCATCTCCATCCGAGACATCCAGAGTTAGAGTAGTGGTTGCTGTGCGACGAGTTCCCGGATACGGAGCCCGGTCCTGGAAAAAAAAGCTGGCATGTTACCATAGATACAGACCTTTAGATTCACATTCACAGATCTGCATACAGAGAGACAACAATAATGAGAACAGAAGAATGAGGGAAAAGAACAATAGTTTAATTTATTTTTAAATATTTAAACACTAAAGTCAACTCAAGTCTTATTTATGTTTTTTAATTTTGCTAGAACAAGCAAAAGGTGTTTTTTAAAACTGTTAAATTATCATGCATAAATCAATTTTTGCATATCATACTGTGAACTTATGACCGTTTATAAACTTTGTATTTTTCCACAAAGAAAATCTTAAATACTGTCAGATGTTCAAGATGAAATTTAATAGCAATGAATCCACACCAACAGGTAAAGAAAAAATGTAGTGTAATTAAATGTAATTCTCCAAATTGTAATTATTGACTTAACAAATTCCAACAACCAGGATCTAAATAAAAAGGGGCATTATTCATATCAAAGCCAACTCTGCTGTTCTGTATTTTTCCTTCGAAAAGATTTCAGAGAGAAAAAGAAAAAAAAAAACAGTAACAAATCCATCCCCTCATTTTCTACATCCTGAAATGATTCCATTTTCTTCAAGGAGAGCTGTTGCAGCCTTGATTTAAAGCATTTACTTGAGCCATTTGGCTCTATGAAAACATGCTTACGGCCTCCAGGGTCTGGACACCCTCATAGGGATGCTGTTCGAGACGGGTTTGGAGCTAGTTGTGTATGCAGCTCATGTAAGGGTGGAGGGATGCATTTGGAAGTGAATCAGGATGCCGGTTATTCAGTGACAGATATAGGGAGGTGCCTGGAATTTTAAAAAGTGCATTGTGCAAACTGGAAACCTAACAGGCCTAGAACGCTTGACCAAAATTCAAGGTTATTTTTTGCAATCTACAGGAAAGGTTACAGAGTGAGAAGTCATTTAGCAGACATCTTTATCCGAAGTGACTTACAGCTCATGGTTCACTCCTTACAGGGATCAGATAAGTAAGCCTTCAATTACTAGCACAAGTATATGCACATTGTTAGGGTTGGTTTGAACTTAAAGCAATAATGTGCAATATAAACAAGTTAAGGTTGATAAACAACATATGAACAACATCAAAAACAGTGTTTATAGTAAAACAATGGAAGTTGTACTAAGTCATAGCTTTTAAGCTGCATTTATAGCAATGGCTCCAGGTGTTGTTTCAAGGCAGGTGAACTTGTCAAACTTGTAAGTGTTATGCACAGTAATCATAAACACAATTTCAAACTCATTCACCCTCAAAATCAAAGTCAAAAACTTCCAAATGCAAAAACTCTTGCATGTAATCTCACAAGTACAATTTCTAATTTATAAACTCACAAATGCAAACCCAAAATCTTTCAAACATATACTTGCAAATACAAATTCAAACCCATAAACTCACAAATGCAAATTCAGGAACTCTCAAATGTAAACTTGCAAGTATAAATTCAAACTTTTAAACTCAGAAACATAAAACGAAAAAGTCAGAAGTAAAGATTCCAACTCATAAACCATCAAATGCAAACTCACAAACAGGAACTTAACTCTCGAACATAAACTCAAAACTTGTAAACACAAAATTACAAACATGAATTTAAAAACTCAAATGTAAACTCGCAAGTATAAATTCAAAAACATAAACTCTCAAATTCTAAGCAATAGACTCACCAATGTATATTCAAAAACTCTCAAACAAACTCAATACAAGTACAAATTACAAATTCAAACTCATAAACATTCAAACTCAAAAACGTACAAATGCAAACTCACAAACATGAACTCAAAAACTCTTGAACATAAACTCAAAAACTTGTATACGCAAACAAACGTCAATTTAAAATCTCTCAAATGTAAACTCGCAAGTACAAATTCAAACTTCAAAAACTCATGAACATAAACTCACAAATTCAAATCTATAAACTCACCAATGCAAGTTCAAAAACTCTAAAACCTAAACTCGCAAGAACAAATTCAAACTCATAAACCTTCAAACTCAAACTCAAAAACTGACAAATACAAACTCACAAACTTGAACTGAACAAATTTCGCATGTAAAATCGCAATTACAAATGCAAATTCAAAACCTCTCAAATGAAAACTCACAAGTTCAAATTCAAATCCATAAACTCGCATATGCAAATTCAAAAACTCTCAAACTTAAACTTGCAAATTCAAACCAATAAACATACATACACAAAGTCAAAAACGTTCAAACGTAACCTTAGAAGTACAATTCAAACTCATAATCCCTTGAATGCAAACTCAAAAACTCTCAAATGCAAACTCACACGTGAACTCAACAACTTTCACACGAAAACTCGCAGCTATAAATTCAAACTGGTAACCTCACAAACGCAAACTTTAAAAACACTCCAATGCAAGCTCAAGCACTCTCAAATACAAACTCACAAACAAATCTAAACTCTCAAACGCACTAAAGTCAACCAGTGCTCTTAAACAAAACCACTCAAACAACTATGTTAAAACTGGAACTAAAAAAAAGTTTTTTAAATAAGAAAAAAAATAAGACATACATGCAAAAATCAAAAATAAATAAATAAATAAATAAATAAATAAATATATATATATATATATATATATATATATATATATATAC